ATCAATCAAGCAATCAAGCAATCAAGCAATCAAGCAATCAATCAATCAACGGAAAAAAAAAGAAAAAAAAAAAGAAACGTTTTGTTTTTTTTTTTCAATTTCTTTCGATTTCGCCCATACCCCCCCATCCAAAAGTTTATCTTTTTCGTTTTTTTTTTGTGGGGGGGGGTGAGGCCGGGGATGCGCCGCCACATGGCGTCTCCCATTTTTCGAAAGTCCCTCCCGCGCGGCCACCACGTGGCTTCAAAGCCGCGCGTCCGCGGGGTCAGCGGACTGGCCGCGTCCGCGGAATCGGCCGCGGATGGCCGCCGCCGAGGGAGATTCACTGCACACAGGGAGGGCCCGAAGTCTGTACGTACGGGCCGTACAGGAGCTGAGGGCCCATACGGGCTAGCCGTCCCCTCTGCACTACTGGAGAGAGAGAGAGAGAGAGAGAGAGAGAGAGGGAGGGAGGGAGGGAGAGGGAGAGGGAGAGGGAGAGAGAGAGAGATGATTGCTCGGCCATACACTCTGCACTACTGGACAGATAATCGTCACCTTGTCCCAGCGAGACAACATGCAATTCTTAATTTGCTTGGCGCAGCGCCATCCCGATCTGTAGTCTGTCAGACACGGTAACCCCCCCAACTCATGGACCCTTTACTCGTCTATCCCCTGATACCAGACTCGTTCACGACGTCAAACCATTGTTCAAGTGATCAAAACACCCCAACTCCCACGTATATTTACATTTACCTAAGTGGCAGGCAAAGTGACTGAGTGGGGGAAGGAAGGAGCCTTTATCCCTCTCCCAAAACAGGAGGAGACTCTGAGGTGCCATTGCCTGGACGAACAAGTCTTCAGAGTGTTGGATGCTGTCTGCAGGAGGAGACTCTGAGGTAAAGCCATCGTAAATATCATGTTCGACAGAGTCTGACAGGAAAATCAACTTTTAGAGGAGTGGATTTGGGGCTGCTAACCTGATCTTAGCCCAAAATCCACTCCTAAAAAGGTTGCTTTTCCTGTCTGTAGAACCTTATATTTGTGGTGGGTTTACGTCTTCTCCTGCACACAACATCCCCTACCTATCTGTCTGCTGCCCTTTACCCGTATGTAGTCGGCATCCGGCACGTCAAGAGCGTCCGTCGTCGATACCATCTTCTTCCGCACTCTTCCTAGAGCGGTAGTTCCTTGACGACCTAGACTTAGGTCTCCCTCGATCGCGCAATTCTCCCACCAGGTCTTCCACAATGTTGGCCTTCTCTTCCTTCCCCATGCTGCTGCTCTCAACAATTTGAACGCCATCCACAGCTCCTTCCCCATTAGGAATCTCCTCCACCACAGCTCCTGCAGCAATGCCCACAGGCAAGAACTCCCCACCGCTGCCGCACACAGCGTCCTTGTTATATCCTTTCCCATCATCCATCGCATCTTGGGCAACAGATACGCAGAGTCCCTTCTTAGTATCATCTACCCATTCTTCCTGCTGCTGGTGCTGCTGCTCCTCCTGCTGCTGCTGCTCCAGCTCTACCCGGCATTCCTCCGAGCCACAATCTGTCATCCGTACATCTTCGTCAATCTCCCTCGCCTGAGAGCAAGAGGTCTTCCTCTTAGTCCTGGCTAGGGCAACAGTTCTCTGCCGCTCCACTTTCCGTGGAACGAATTTTATCGAACCTGGTGGAAAAACCCCACGACTACCCTCCTCTTGCTCGTCCTTGGGCATTGTCTTTCCTCCGCTGCCACCACTGACTTCTCCGCCCACAACAGCAAAACCTCCCCTATACCTCTCCTGCTTCACCTCATCTGATCTTTTCTGCGACACCATGTCTCTTGCGTCCTTCAGTGCAGAGAGGTTCCTCTTCCTTTCCTTTTCTTCGTCGTCTTCATCCGACCAGTCCAGCGAATAGTGTGTGTACTTGTGCGGATTGCGGACGTGATCTGGCACCCTGCGTCTTCGACTAAACAGCTCGTTCATGGATCGAGTCAACGACTCCTCAAACCGACGAGCTGCACCCTTGATACTCGACCGCCAGTCATAACCAGTAGAGGACGGAGGCGCGAAGCAGGACAAGGAATGACAAGGAGAAGCAGAACCAGAGGTAGATGCAGAGGAAGACGGCAAAGACGAAGACGAAGACAAAGAAGAAGAAGTAGCCATCCAATCACGGCGAGCAGTGGACATCACTTCTTCGCGTTCACATCCAGTGCCTTCACCAGCAAGGACTATCACTGACCTAGACCTCTTCTTCATCTTTTCCTCCTCTGGATTTCCTGTTGACACCAAGTTGACGTCATCCTCGTCCTTTCCATCTCCTTTTTCCTCGGCCAATAAGAATCTCACTCTCTTCTTCTTCTTCTTCTTCATTCCTTCACCATTGCATTCTTCAGCCGACTTTCCTCCCGAATGACCGAGGACACCATCAGTATCTCCATCTCGTGGACAAGTTTGTCCTTCATCTGTCCTCTCCCCGCCCACCATCGCAGTCGCCGCTTGAGCTGTCTGGATCTCTGCGACGGCTGTTGGAATCTCCATTGTTCTACCACCTCCTATTTCTTCCTTGTCCATCCCTTCTGCATCATTACTGATTGCTCTGCCACTCAGTTCCATTCCCCTAGTCTGGCCGACAAGCGGACCCATTGTTTCCCCTACACCTCTCGTCACCCCCTCCTCCCCAGTCGCCATACACTTGACCTCTCTGTGTATATTCCCTCCAGTGCTGCATTCAGTCATCGCGGCGTCCCTTCCTCCCTCTTTTGCTTCCTCATCAGCAGCATTCTTCATCTCATCCTGTGCCATCTCCTCACATTTCTCCCCAGACCCATCAGAAGACTGACGTTCACCCTCCTTTTCTCCCGCCTCATTTACTTCCATCTTGCTTTCTTCTCGCCATTCCACTTCCTTCTTCTCCATCTCCTTGTTTTCCTCTCCAACCCAGGATGCGAAGCCCGCCATCTTAACAACCACCTTGTTGTCCGCCTCCTCGTCCTCCATAGCCACAGCTTCCTCTTCCTGCTCATCATGCATACCCTCCACCTCCCCCTTTTCCTTGCGACTCTGACGGTTCTCTTCTCTCCGACTTTCCTCTCGCAGCTGCAGCTCCAACTCTTCCATCTCCTTGTCATCCTCCTCTAGCCTTGCCGCAGCAGCTGAGGCATCCGCCCTCATGTCCCGCCGGGAGTTCTTCAGCTCTGCTAGGGTAGTAGGTAGAGGCGCAATGGCGTCAATCCATAGTGAGTTTCCCCTACCTGCAAATTGCTCCCTACCGTCGCAAATCTGTTTCGTCCTCGTCAACCAGAAGCCGGCGTGATCACCGTCTTGTCTCCCCGTGGCATACTTATCATACTCATCTTCCTCCTCCTCAAAATCCAGCGTGCGATCCCTCCCCATCATCGCACGCATACGACCTTCTTCGTCTTCCTTATCATCATCACCTTCATTCTCAACATCTCCGCTGCACTCAACACCCCTCTTTCGACGCCTGAACACATAACCTCCATCTCCTTTTGCTCCTCCATCGTCATCAGCACCATCTTCTCCTCCTCCATCATCATCACCGTCTTCTGCTCCATCATCATCATCATCATGATCATCATCATCTAACGGACGGTGACGACAGATGTACTGATCATCATCTGGATCCTCATCACACTCTTCCCTCACAGTTCTCCTACGTGCAACACTACCCGAAACGAGCCACTTGGAAGAATGTTGTTGAGTAAACGCAGGGGGAGGTGGGTTCTCTGCACCTCCCCCTCCTCTGTCGATGTCCTCTGCTCGTGTTGTCGCTTCCTTTGCTCCATCCTCACCCACTGCTGCCTTCATACCCTGGAGAGTGCTGGAATTCTCAAGCACGCCAAACAGCTTCGCAACGCGGTCGTTGAACTGCTGAGTCACTGAGCTGCGACCCCCACCATCATTCCAAAAAGACATTTCGACTGCAGAGGAACCGGCCATCATCGACGCGCACACGGGTTGGCAGTTTACCGTTACCTCGTCCCTTCGTCAATGGCACAGGAAAAAAGACCAAAACGGCCGCTGCCGGTGGGGTATACCGGCAAGTTTTCCACTTCTTTTGGCCCTAGTAACCACTCTCTTCCTCTATATTCCCTTTCCGCCTTCCTGCTCTTTGTCTGTTTTCCCCCCTCCAACGTCCAACCGATCGGACAAGCAGCAACATGCAAAACATTCACATCAAACAACAACCATCTCCAATCCCCGTTTCCCCCTCTCCTTCTCTTGGCCTTCCTGCTG